GGCCGAAGACCTGCGGCGCCTCTCGCGCGACGACTTGATCCAAATCTGTGGCGTATCCGACGGCATACGGCTGTATAACACTATCCACGCCATACCCAGCACCACACGGCTCACCATATTTGTTACCACCGATGGTAAAGGTATGTTTGATACATGGGCTGACCCCCACCCCCTGCTATACTGTAAGGGTGTTTAAAAATCTATGTTTTGATGTATTTTTTTGCAGTTCATAACGGAATCTATTTGAAGATATTGACTGAGGAGGAGCTCCGGCACAGGTTGACTGAAACCCTGGGTATTGTCGGTCAGACCCTCAGACATATATACCTCATCGGTCCAAATGATATACGGATTAAGTTAACCAATAATGTGGTGATGAATATGAAAAATGAGTCCATATATAGCTGTTGTGTTGATAAAGGTATTGATTATTGTTATTATTTTTAATTAATTAAATTAATTAATTGTTGTAATCATTTTTGTTTAGACCAAGATGAATACGATCTAGTGCTACAGTCCACAGGCATCTAGATACAGACAATCCCCGTTATAGTGAACAAATTAACTATAAGTTTATAATAAAATCATACACTGAATATACTCTGGATTGAAAATGTGTATTCATTTAAACGTTGAAATGTTTTACAAAATTCATATATTGTTTCACAGAATATTCATATACAGTATAATTAATATTTATTGTCAGTACACTATTTATTAGTGTACATGATAAGTATTTTGAACCATTATATACATTTATATATTTATACTGTTGTTCACTATATGAGAAACAATGTTTAATTAATTAAATGAATTATATAAATATTTAATTAACATTTATATGACTATAATCAGTGGCTTATACTTTGTTTTTGGTTGTGTATACATAAAAATACCTCGTTATTATTAACAATAAATGCCATTTTGTACATAATTAACTAGATTACACTTACTCTTGTTTTTAAACTTTAAATTACTTAAAATTAAATAATTTTTAAGTACAAAACGCATATCAAAAGCATTTAACGAAAAATAAAAGTTCGTTATAATTAATTGTAATTGTTATAAGTTTTTAAAAAACCTCTCTATAGCGAACACCATATAGTGTACAAACAATACTAAATAACTTGTGGTAAAATATAAAACACTGATACAAATTACATTAAATACAAATTATATTTATAATTAATAAATTACTTAAAGTAATACAAAATGTTTTACAATAAAACGCTAATTGTTTGCTCAATATATTAATGTATACCTTATATAGTGAACAAAAAACATCATAATTTATAATAAATAAATTCCATAAAATGATTGGACCAAGATTGTTTTAAAACAATTACAAATATTTTAAATGTAAAAAAATTAATAAAAATAATTGCTAAACAAAAATAAATCAAAACAATAATTAATTTAACTAAACTTAATTTAGTAACCAAAATCAATTATAAAAAGTCACTAACTCAATTACAACACAAATTAGTTTAATCCGGATTAATACATGTATAATCCCAACTCAACCAAGTGGAAAAGTTTTTAAACACACACATTAAAGTTTTTAAAAGTTTATGCAAGTTGTAACTTTGTAAAAAAAACAGTACAGTTAGTCAATGCAGGTAAAAAACAGTCAGTACTGACTGTACAACAAACCACTAAAATAGCCCTAATCAAACTTTTGTCGTAATCATAACAAACCGTACGCTAACAATACAGTGTACTTTAGTATCAAGTTGGAAACAAACAACACAACTATGACATTTAGTGACTGTTAATGTACTGTACAGTACTTGGACTGTACACTATACACAGGTAAGGCCAATAGTAACTAGTTTGCAGTATACAAGGGCTGTATTGGGAAAACTACACTATACTTTAGATGTAACTTTTTTTTGGGTGTCATTTCATAGGTATATAATAGTAGGCGTTTGACTGTAGGCACAGTCATCTTCATCATCAGCCCATTTGGTCTGCCATCGCAATCATCGCAACCCATTGTCTCTCATCAGTGGTCACACATCACCGTCAGGAACAGTCACACAGACATACAGTCCACTCCCGATATGATGGACCCGTCGGTTGGCTGGGATCAGTCGGAGCACAACGGGCCGGGCGCGAGACAGTGGCGCCGGATATGGCGCGACTACTGTACCGCCAAAGACATCACCGCAACCACATCCGCGACCACAACTACTACTACAACAACAACCGCCACAACAGCCGCCGCCGTTGCCATCGCCGTCGCCGCTGACACGGATAGGACACAAGTCATGGCACCGCCGCTGCCATCGACACCGATAGCCGCCAGCAGTAGTAGTAATGGTAGTCAACCTCCGGAGCGCGTAAACTATAGTCAACAACACTTGTACCGCAACAACAGCAACCACTCGAGCCAATACAGGTCATCACCGCAGCAGCACTGGTGCCCATCGCCCGCCGCCTCCGCCGCTATCAACGACTTGTTCAGCAAAAAGCGCAGCCAAGAGGCGACCGCAGCGCTAATGGCGGCCACTCTGGCCAAAGAGGCGGACAATCCGGCGCTGATCACCGATCTCGCGGCCCAACGGCATCTGATTGAGCGCCACAACGGCACCCCCTGGTACGGCCCCGACCACCCCCGGCATCCATACCACAGCCATCATCAGCAACAACAGCGACAGCAGAAGAGGTCGGGTGATAATGGTGTTGCCAATAGCCAGTGGTCAGCAGCGACTGGTAGTCAGCGTCCGGCGGCGGCCGCGGCGTGCGATTGGACCGCCGAAGAGGCTATGGATCACTTGCACCGCGAGATTGAGATGTTTTACGATTATATGTCGCCCACAGAGCATGAGAAACGGCTCCGACGGGAAGTGCTTCAGAGGATTACCAAAGCCATTGAGACGTTGTGGAGGGATGTGGTGGTGAGTATGTGTGCCGTGTGTTTGTTTGTATGTTTGATCATGATGTTTGTTATGGTGTGTACTACTCTCGGTATAGTGAACAGTGAGTTTATGGTATTGGTCTGTAATTGTGACCTTATTGCTCTAGATGAACTTGTTGATTAATTAGGTTTTAGCTACTTTAGTAATTACAGTTACATAGTGTACTTATTTTTTGGCGGTAAACTTACTTGTTCATTACTACTGTGAATAGTGTACTACAATTAGTTCATTAACACAATAAAAACTTACCATAATTTCTACACACACTCACCACCAATAGGTCCAGTGCTTCGGGAGCTTCAGTACGGACACGTATCTGCCCACCAGCGACATCGATCTGGTGGTGATCGGCCGGTGGCAGTACCTGCCCCTCGTGGACCTGGAACAGTACTTCTTGATGCAACGCTTTTGTCACCCGCATCAGATCCTGGTGCTGGACAGGGCTACTGTTCCCATCATTAAGATGACCGACAACTGGTCCGGCGTTCGCATAAACATCAGCTTTAATTTGAAACAAGTGTTTAAAAGTGTCGATTTGGTTATCGTAAGTGAACATCATGTGTGTGTATGTGTGTCCCCCTTCATGTCCACCCTCCCCCCCCCAGGTTTGCCCTTTACCCCAACTCCTACCCTCCCTTTCCATATGCTGTCTCACACCCCCTTTTGGACTGTATAATTAATTTAACACTAGATTAAATACTAGATTAAACACTAGACTTAACACCGGATTAAACTAAAAATTCAGTTTATTATTTATTCCCATTCCCTGTGTAGCCGTCCCTACCATTCAAGTCACCCCTATCTGCCCCTCCCTGTCCACCCATCTCTCGCATATACACTATAACCCGAGTTAATGAACACTATTTTTTTGTACACTATTTGAACGCCAGAATTACATCAAAGAGATGCCAAACGTGAAGAAAGTGTTGCTAATAATCAAACAATTTCTACTGCAACGGGACCTGAACGAGGTGTTCAAGGGTGGGCTCAGCTCCTACAGCCTGGTCCTAATGGTGGTCCACTTCTTCCAGACCAATGAGAAGGCCCGAAAGGAGACTAATCTCGGTCGTCTACTGCTACAGTTCCTGGAGTTGTACGGCTTAATACTCAACTACCAGGCGGTGGGCCTACGGCTGGCCGGCGCCGGCGGCTTCCGATACGTACCCAAACGTGAACTGTTGGCCACTACTGTACAGCACCCGCAGCCGCAGATTGTGGTGACGGCCACCGGTGGTCAGCCGTATTATCAGCACAATTACCACAAGCCATCGCTGTTGATCATTGAGGACCCGTTGGACGCCACAAACAACGTGAGCCGCAACTCGTACGCGATGGACAAGTGTCGCGACGCGTTTGCCTACGCCTTTCGGACACTGTATATGGCTGTCGGCCCGAATCGGGCGGCCATTGGCGATCGCAATGAGTCGATTCTGGGCCGCATTGTTCGGGTGACGGATCAGGTGATCGATCGGCGACTGTATTCGGTACCACACCAGCGCTACAATCGCTACAATCCGTACGGCCAGCAGTCGGAGTGCGCCCGATGTAGCCCTAAGCCACGGGTTAGTGCAGTCTCTCTCTCTCTCTCTCTC